CTATAAATGGGAATATAATAAATGTGTAAAATGTTCCAAAAAACAGCAATATTCATAATATTAATACTAGATTTAAAGACAAACTTGCTGTCCCCAAGTATCGTTTAGAAAAAGTTAATAGGTCTTTTATGGAAATAGGTATAAAAATTTACAATAAGATACCAAAGGATATGTTGGAATTACCCTTAAATAAATTCAAAACATCTGTTAAATCATATTTACTGAGCAAAGCCTATTACTCACTAAACGATTACTTGAATGACGAGTGTGCATGGCAATAGTTGTTCATGCACTGAATTTTCATTTAATGTTAGACATAGACACCTATATAAATATACATTGTAAATAAACTGGCTTTAAAAAAAAAAAGTAATTCAATTGAGTTTCTTGCCAGTTCTTCTCAATTGAATCTATATACCGAACTGGACGGTAGGGAAAAAATAAAATTATAATGTAAAAATTTGACGTTCATAAGCGGCTAAAATGTCCTACATGAATAAATGATTTTTGAATTTGAATTTGAATTTAAAAATAATAATAATAATAAATACAAGTATATAGAATAGAATAGAATAGAAAATTCTTGGTGGCGACGACAGATCAGAAGCGCCAACAAGGACCGACGACCTCAGTCGCCAACCATCACAACGGTCTCGGTAGGTTTAGCGCACCGCTTTACTTCCGACGGTCGCGGGTTTGTTTCCTCGATGGTACAAATATATTCATGAGTATCATTATTTGTGTCGGTCTGGGTAATTTTTAGGTATGTTATGTGTGTATTTAGAAATAAATATGTGTGTGAATTCTCCTAAGATTTTTATTATTATTATGTAATATTTTGTTAATTGTGTTATTATTAAAAGAAGGATAGATTCTTTTAAGTTTTTCTATTTCTTTAACAGCCTGGTTACCACTGTTATACCTATTGTATAAGGCAAAGTCACCTACATTACTTTTATTAATTCGTATTTTTTCTGTATCTCATGTATGTTATGTGTCTGTAATTGTGAATAAAGAATTTATCTATATATCTATCTATTTCTTTCACCAATTAGATTGCTTTGTAAGCTGTGTTTTGTTTGCATGCAGAGCGAGGAATCGAACCCGCGACCATAGGAATTAAAGCGGTGTACTAAACCGCTAGACCACTGAGGTCTTCAAACACCATTTAGTCAGTCAAAATAATTTCTTAAGGTTAAGGCAACGCGCACACCACTGATGTTTCAGCGTCCATAGATTACGCTCACCATTTACCATTAGATGGTCCGTCAGATTATTTACCATTTCAGTTGCAAAAAAGGCATGATTAGGTTCTGCAGTTCCCTTATAATCATGGAGTTTTCCATGAAGGGTATATTAAAGTTTCTTAAGAATAAGCAACGCGCACGTAACACCCTTGGTGTTTCAGGCAACTATAGGCTATGGCAATCATTTACCACCAGATGGGCCGTCGGCTTATTTACCATTTCAGTTATAAAAAAAAGTTGATCAGGTTTTTCAGTTCTTTCATATGTTTACCAATTGTATCCTATACATCATCGATTGACCTGCGGATTGAACGGAGCAACGTCGACTGCACCTATTTCCCCTGTTCCACCAACATGTTCCATTGAAGCAGCGCTGCTATTGGTCGTACCGTAATGTTATATACCCTACAGCCTTCCTTGATAAATGGGCTATCCAATAGTCAAAGAATTTTCAAAATTTATCGAACAGTAACAGAGATTACCCTTTTTTTTTGACTTGGAGAAAATCCCTCATGGAGACCCGCCGGCCCCGGGGGAAGCCCGCGGGTACTGTGAGACTCCTACGCATTAAAAACTCCAAGATGTCCCTCACCCAACGCCTAAGCCGGAGTCGCGGGATCGATGACAGTCAACCGCAACTCCGGCGGAACAGAGATTACCCCTAACATTCAAATTGGGAAAATTTACCACTGTACAATATTTATTTATTTATTCTTTTGACTTAATGTCTGTTGGCATTCTCTACCAGTCAAACGGCGCGTTGATCAGAGACAATAAGGATAGTACTAGTGGAGTTGGTTATGTTATGGATATTATCAACTAGCTGTTCCCGCGACTTCGTCCGCGTGGAAATTAACTTTATTTTTCTAAAATAAAACTAGCCTACGTTACTCCTTATTACATCAACTACCATAAAAAGTCCCGTCAAAATCGGTCCAGCTATTTCAGAGATTAGCCGTAACAAACAGACCGACAGACAAACAGACAAAAATAAAAAAATTGGTGTATGTACCATATTTATGATCGGTCATATGCGATCTAGTACACCGCTTTACGACCGATGGTCGCGGGTTCGATTCCTCGCACGGTACAAACATTTGTATTCATGAGTATGATTGTTTGTATCGGTCTGGACCGTGTTTTCTATATATAATATGTATGTATTTACAAAAAAAAAAGTCTATGTATTTGTTCATTATCTAGTACCCATAACACAAGCTTTCAGCTCCAGCTTAGAGATTAGGGTCTAGATGGCGCTGTGTGAATTGTCCAAAAAAAATAAAAAAATTTATATTCATATGCATGTAGTAAAAAACGGTTATTTCAATATTACAAACAGACACTCCAATTTTATTTATATGTATAGACTTAGTAGTAATCCACATTCGCGATTGTTTCCAAATGGAGTAGATAGGTGATGTATTCGCTTTCAGCAAACATACAAAACTAAATCATATTAAATCAGATTTCTAATTTTTGCAATATTAGTGCAGTTGATTTGTATTTATCCATTACCAATCTTATAGATTTAGTTTTATGACTATTGAAAAGACTACTGTATTGTATTATTTACGCCTTAAAGTAAAATCCCATCAAAAACATAAATGTGAAATGATAGCCGAGTTTAATATTATGATATATGCCTTGATTGTTGACTTCTACGACAAAAGAGGTGAGATCTAAATGGGTGCCAACTTCAATGGTCTGTCCTGAAATGTATTTATAACAATATAAAATATCATTTCTTCTTATAACTTAGGATAATATACTGTAGCCTAAGGTCTGACTTGGCTAGTTCTCATATACTAATTATTACTTTCGATTGCTAGTTACTACTAATAATAAAATAGGAACCGACAAGTAACATGTTTAGAACTTGCGAAGGCTACAGTATATTTCGTATATGAAAACTAGCCAAGTTAGACCTTAGATCGGAGAGCATTCGAGCTAAGAAGTGACAAGAAACTCAGCTCTTATTCTTTTCAAATGTGCTGGTAGATTATTACAAAAATACAAATTCAATTTTTAATTCAAAATTAGGCAGAATAGAGTGATCACCAGCATATGCCATTGCAATTTTGTAAACAGAATATTCACCTACATCATATGCTGTCCACTGAGAACTCTAGTCATAGATCATCGCCAGGTACAGTCCAGACTTCTGTCTAGTGATTCACATTTCCATAAAAGATACTAGCAGACCCGGCCACGCGTTATTGTGGCTAAGGTTCTTGAATAATATTACGACTATAAATTGAGATGTAAGCTATCCTATCTTTCAAGTTGGATCAAATTGCACACAATGTGCAAATCATATTTGGTTCAGTAGTTTAGGAGTCCATCATGGACAAACAACGTGACACGTAATTTTTTTATATAAAGATTTGAAGAAAGAACTTAATTAAAAATTTAAGCGTTTTACCTTTAATCACCAGATTATATATTAATTTCTTCCTTATAATGAGTTAATAGGAGTATCAATAAATAAAATAAACATTTAAAGTATGTAACATATATATTTCTTTGAGCTTTTAATTGCATTTTGAAATACAACATAAAATATTAAATAAGATTATTAAATTTGGTAAAATCAATATTTTCAACACCATTTTTTTTTATTAAAGAATGAGCAAAAATCTCTCATCAGAGCTAGCGTATACATAATATTTGTCGTACCTTTTCAATATCGATAAAATGATAGTTATTCTTTAAATCCTTTACTTTACACTGATTGGTATTGACGCAGATGTGAATTAAATCTAAATTGATACATCCTCAAAATGCGATCCAAAACAAATGTTTCCATTTAAGTACAATGTAATATAACCACGTTTGCGTCAAATACCAGCAGTCGACAGTACTTCAGCATCACTGTTTGATATCGTTCGCCTTAATAATTAACCGTTTACAATATTTTTTTTATTAAATATAAAAGAGTTTACACTCGCTTGTACCGTATATACACATCGTATATCTGTCGTTTCATTGGAAGATATTCAATACACTTGAATGTTCTAAACGTATACTCATGTAGTAAATCCTTTTTAAAGAAAAAACTGGTATAACATATTATCACTTTTAAATATATTGGTTTGGACAACCAATTGTTGCATTGATATACTGGTATACAAGTGTTCACAGACATAGGTCACCTAAAATTATGTACTTAACACTAAATAATAAATAGCCACCTCACTGGGAGAGCGTACCTAGAGCAAATTTACACTAAGGAGATAGTATTGCATCCTATGTCGATTCGTATGTACAATACGAACTCAAAACGATGAGATTGGATCTCCGAGATTACATGCACCGACGCTCAACTTCGCGAAACGAGAGAAATTCAAAATATACATAGAATAAACTAAGAACCATTCTAATCTTAACTCCAACGTTTGATTTACATAAAAAAAATATTAAGTAACTAAAAAAAGATATTGCAACGAATTTTTTTCAATACTGAAAACACGATAACACGACCGAGTTGTGGCCTATCGAATCACATGCAAAGGCGAACCGCAATTAAAATTAAGTATTCATTTTTAGATTATTAGCAAAAAATATACATTTACAAGAGATCGAATCGAACTTTATGACTTAATGTGACTTATATTTACAATTACCGAAATGGAATTACGAGTAGCGTGGAAGATAAGCGCGGCCCGAGGGCCCCCGACGACGCGTCGACTTCACCTAAAGGCAAATATTTTGAAAATATTCTCTTACATCTAAACGAACGTAAGACGTTTGGCGTATACTTAAGTCACTAGTCGTAAATTACACTAACCGAACGATGCGGTGAACTCTAACAATAATTATCTAAATAATTAAATTGGCAAAGAGTTTCGAAATACTTAGCGTCGCCGCGGCGACCTAACCCTAGTAAGGTTTAACGTAGCTGGATATGGTATCATCACAATTGATGGCCCGTTGACCTATGTACAGTCTACACGTATTTACTGGAAAGCTGCTTCGCAAGTTCGGTATACTTGAGGAACTTGGAATGAGGACTTTCGTCGAACGACTGAGAAGGACTACGAGGGTCCTGCGGCGAAGCTGTGTTCGAGCCTCCACTCTTGTGAGTGCCCGGTGACGCGGCCGCTGGAGGTGCTTTCATCGGAACCGGCTCCGGCAAAGCCCCGTCTTTCACGAAATGCATTTTAGAAAGATGATGCCGATAGGCTCCCTTCGAAATAAATGGCGTGTCGCAAAGAGCGCACTTCATTATCGAGTCCGTAACTACTGCATCATTACAAGCCCAGCTAAACGTAAGAATACTCGGGGGACCAGCCGGTGATGGTGCCGGTGCGGGAGCACGAGATGGATTATTCTCAGTTTTATCGCACAACTTCTGAAGTGCCGCTAATGGATGACTGCCGCTACGGCGAGACGAACTCGGTTCGTTAGACGAGCCACCGCTGGCTAAATTGTCGAACATAGAAGATAGCGCGCCTAAACTGGAAGCCGGCTTTCTATCAGCTCCAGGAGTGTGAGCTGAACGATCGCTGGCTGGGCTACGAGGACTAGCAGCGGGGCTCGGGCCCTCGCTTTCTCGTTTTGGAACCGCTTTCATTTCTTCCTCATTCGAGCTACCTGGTCGAGGAGGTTCCTCATCATCATCGACCTCAGTCTTTACACGCACTGGCTGACTGCTTAGATCTACCCCATTCTCACGATCATCCTCCTCAGTAACTTCCCGTTTTATTCGTACTTCAGTGGGACGATCCTCAGAAGCGGGAGTTTGAGAGCCGCGAGTATCTGGAGTGGTTCGTGGAGTCATGTGATACGCATCTAATTTCCTATCAGGTGTAAGAGATTCAACTCTGCTACCGCCTCGCTCTGACATTGAACTAGATTCACTGCCACTACGTTCGCGGCGACCGTAGCCTTGTTGGTGATGGTAGTTCCTCAACATATTCATTGTTTGAGGATCTACCAATGGTTTCGTATAGTCTACACTCTCATCTATTCCTAATCTTTTAAGAATACTAGAACCGATGGGCGCATGTGATGCCCCGCCAGGCATTCCGGGTACAGAATGTCGCGATCGCGTATCGAAACTCTTTTCTATCAATTGTTCTATGGCATTTAGAACCGAAGGCGACGAACTTTTATCATTACTCGCATTGGGATCTTTGGAACTAGGGGAAGAATCATTCACGGAAGAAGGTGAGCGATGGTGAGCTGAACCCGGAGAGGGTAATTCTTCATTAATACTCTTTCGACCGTCGCGACTAGTTGGCGTAACATGACCAGGTACATCAGGAGGAATGGGAATATTATTTGAAAGAAGAGCACTCTTCAGAAAATTCCTTTGGCTATTTGACATGGGTGCACCTATACATTGTCGAATGTGTTCGACAAATACAGCAGTCTCAATTTTATCACCGCATTTTTCACAAGTAATACGGCTACCTGTCCCGAAGTCCCTAATTGGTTTTCCCATAGGAACCCCATTACCCTCCCCATTTTTGAACTCGTGCTGTGCCCTTTCTAACTCTAAGAGTTTCCTAACTGGTAAAGATTTCTTCCTCTTTTCGCGAGTTTGGCGTCGCCTACCTCCACTCTCCGTAATAGACCGCATGATGTGCTCTTTATAATGTGAATTTTTGACCATATGATTACTTAATTCTTTCAAGGAACTAAATGCTTGATCGCACACTTTACAAGTTAAAACAGCGCTAACGTGACTACTTGTACCTGTGGTTGGAGGTACTGCATTATTTGCCCCGGGGCCGCTAGAATTAGAACCTTTTGCTTCATCGGAAGACTTCCACGATATAATCTGTTCTTGTGAAATAATGTTTGTATAGTGTTGAGTTCGTTGCATGTGGCTAGTCATTTCGGCCAGCGAACGGAAGCTTTCCGCACACCACATGCATTTCAATATTTGCCTAGTTTGCTCGGCACCTTTACCTAACCAAACGTCTTGACCTCGAACTAACTTTCTTGGAATCGGCATATTCTCTTTTATTAGCATATTCAGGTCGCTCTGATTTGGTTTAGAAGAACCACTAGAAGACGATGAATTATGAGATGGCGTTGAAGGTGAACTAGACGGTGGCTGCAAAGAGGGAGGTATCGGTGCACCAGTCCCTGGAGGTACGGGCACGTTGACTCCGCAATGCTTGGCTTCTTTCATGTGAACTGTCAGGTCTGCAAGGGAGTTGAAACTCTTTTTACACCAAACACATTTCAGGACATCCTTCGTTTGATCGGCGCCTTTATTAAGCCAGTGCGATTGCCAAGCAGAATGTCTGGCAGCTGCATTTGGAGCGAGACCAGCGCCCAAAGCCGCACTTTGTACAGATCGAAACAGTTCCTCACCACCCAGTCTGCTTAGCTCGCTCATCTTTTCTAACGCTTTAGTCGCATCACTCGGTGTCGGCGCTCCATGTTTTAATTTACCATTCCAATCCGCAGGTACTCCACCTTTTGGAGATAAGCTTGCTGCGGCTACAGCCGCTGCAAAATATGGCAAATGAGGTGCAACAGGAGTTGTCCATGGTGATGGAGATGGTTTAAACTCTATAGACCGAGAACTTTTCCTCGTAGGGACCGGAGATGGTGATTCGTCCGGTCCTCTTTTCCTCGTGCCCACCGACAGGTCCAAAGGACCATTCTCATTTTTACTGAGATTAACAGCATCATCAGCATCTTCGTCGTCGTGAGGTGAATCACTCCGCTTGGTGCTGAAATCCAAGACGGCATCAGCTCGTTCGGAATCGGTCATGTCATCTTGACACGACATGAAGAGTCGTTGCTGCGCTGCGGCCGCTGCAGCGGCGCCTAGGTAGGCGGCGACAGCTGCAGAGTGCGGAGGGAGGAGTGCAGCGGGCAATGCGGCGGGTAGGGCGGCCGTCAGCGCAGCGGAGAGGGGGAGGCCCGGCCCGCTGCGCCCGGAGTACACCGAGTCATTGGAGGGACATCGCGGAGCACCCGACGACTCCCGCGACAGACATCTCGGGCTCTCCCTGCGGACAAATGAAACACGACGTCAGGTTGACATAATTAACTTATTGCCGAAAAGTCGGCTTGTCGAGCACCCAAACCGGTTTAGCATTGAATAGATAGTAAACAAATTTTATGTCGTAACATTTTAACACATTTTCCTCGTTTGTTGACAAAACATTAACAATGTCAATGCAAATCTTGATATTCATGTCATATATCTAAATATTCGTTAAAATACTTAGAAACAGCTGTTATGAGTAAGACAAATTTCTTCTTAAAATTTCGTCACGATTTAAATTACAGTGTCAATTTCTGTATCTTCATTTATTACTCAATACAAACTTAATTCTTTATATATGACGTCAATAAAATCAATAGCAGTTTATTTACAACTAATGGATTCGTCAACCGTGATCGTGGTAGTGGATTCGAACAAACATATGAAACATTTATTAATATTAACCCAATAGAGATCTAACAAAAGTCGTACAAACAAAATATGACAAAGAAGAAAAGTGGGCCCTGAATTTAAACAAAATTGAGGTAGCCATTCTTAAATGTAATCGATTACTTTCAAACGTTTCAATAAATTAAATAAACAAAATTATTGAAATGTAAATAAAGTATACTAATAATAATAATAATCTCAACAATTCACACAGCGCCATCTAGACCCATTAAGCTAGCTAAAGCTTGTGTTATGGGTCCTAGACAACTGATACAAATACATAGATATATATTTTTTTTTCGTAAATACATACATATTATACATATACCCAGACCGATACAAACAATCATACTATGAATACAAATGTTTGTGCCGTGCGAGGAATCGAACCCGCGACCATCGGCCGTAAAGCGATAGACTAGACCGCTAGACCACCGAGGTCGTCAAGTATACTCAATTCCTATTGATATTGAAAATATTAAATATGTCATCCATTTAATGTGATTTGGATTTGATCCCTATTGGATCACTCCAGCGCGTGGTATCAGAGGTGTCTGATTATCAAGCACAATGTAACGTAGGTAGCATGTTACGTTAATTGAAATACCAAATCAATATTGTAGTTTTATCACAATTATTCAGGGATAAGATAACACGGCATATACAACATTCAACGACACATCTAATCAATGATTTATGGGACAATTAACATTATCAATAGATTTTAGAATTTTACAAACAATAAGAAATGTATCACAGAAATGTATGATAAACCATTTTTGTGATATCAAAAATAATCAACGAAGTTTCGTTTTAGACTCTACTTGATTGTCTTAAGATCATGTAGTTCAAAAAGTTCATGTTAATTTACATTTTAATTCTTGGGTGCATGAATAATTCCATTTTACCTAATTTGTTTTGATATTATGTTAAAAAACAATTTTGTCATCCATAACTTTTCATTGAAATATGTGTATTTTTGTTATTAGACAGTAGATTATATTAATGTGACAACGAATGCTTCAATAAAAAGTTTCATTTTGTCTGAAATAATAACATAGAAATCTAAATGAGATCATTTTATAACATTATACAAATAAATAAGTTATAAAACACTTCATGAAGATAAAAGATAAACAATATTAAACAACTTAAGCTGTGGTAGAAATGTAGAAACCATTCTAAGTCCAAGATGTACACAAAATACTAAATACAAATACAAAGAAATCTTACGAAATTGATTATGAAAATATAACGAATTAAAATAACAATACGAAGAAAAAAAATTATAAATTAGTAGTTAATATTGAAACACTTGTACAAACATAAAACCTACCTCACGTGGTCGGGCTCGACGATCATTTTGGACGAAATTTTTTCAATATATCCGAAACGGAGCGCGCAAAAAGTCTCTCGGATCCATCAAATATCACTTTTTAATAAGAAAAACACCATTCAAACAAGACAACTTGTGACTTCCCAAAAATAGGATGAAGTGTAAACACGTCGCGAAAGACGCGCCGCGAGACCCGCGGTCGGGAGGGAAGTGCGCGAGCCGGCGGCGACGGCGGCGCTCCCGCGTGGAATGAGACACCGCGTGATTTACGACCCGCCTGCAGCGCCCCCGCCCCGCACGCCCCTCGCTAGAGCAGGACAGACGCCGCCGCGATGAGCGCTGCAATGCGACAGACAGAGACGGCGACACGTATTCTGCTTCGAGGGGTGGTGCGCTGCGTAATGCAAGCGTGCGTGCGATGCGCGAGGTGGACGTGCAGTGACGGCCGATCGTTCTGATGACAGCCGGGTGACACAGCAAAGCTACTCCGCATAGCTGACTCACCGTCGTAACCCAATGAAAACTGGACGCAACATCCTCCACGGCCAATAGGCGCGGTATACTTTTAATGAGTATGTTTACGAATCTACGTTGATATGTTTGCTCGTGTCAGCGGCACTATCCGTCCGAGAAACTCTCCGGGGCTTAGAGAAGATTACCCCGGACGGGGTTGACGGCGTTGACAAGGAAATGGCGCGTTAACAAAACGCCGAGACGAGTCCTTTTAACAACACCGGGACAGACAGGGGACGAGGACGGATTTACGCGTATCATGAACAGATTTCCTGCCTTGACAAAGGAAAATATTCTTTAGGTTTATTTATTTTTACGAGGGTAAGGTACGACAAACTTACTCCGAATGACAATATAAACGTCAATGGGAGAAAGTGTGGACGAGAGTCCAATAAGACGACAAAGGAACGTCTCAATCAACGGCGTATCATTTCAGAAAATCACTACGGAGTCTATGCGCTCCTAGTAGGTCCAACAAACGAGCCGGACCAAATTTTGTCTGTCATCTCCTCGATAATAATGTCTGTCGTGATTTGACGAAAAGCATAGTTGGAATCCTATTACAAACAAACTTGAACAAAGTTCCGAACAAAATCGCCAGCTGTTTATAGCTTCCTATAAGCATTAGTCGGGTGCGGGTCAATCAATCACTTGTGTTTATGTGACAGGTATTGCGGTCTCTTTCGCGCAGGAGCATGCATGCGATCGGAAATAACCAGTCTGGGATGCTACGCGACATAAACAAAAAATATTCATGCTCTATTTTTCCGTGGCGCTCCAGATAGTAACAATGTGGGGGCGATAAATTCTACACTGTGGTCGTGTTTTGATGTGTGGCGTTCGAATTGGGACGGGGTGAGGCATGTGCGCGAAGTTTTAGTTCGCGTGGTGCGGGCGACGGGCGACGCAGGGACCCGAACACCTGACACCGTTTGAATAATTTCGCAGTTACAACGTGAATTTTAAAACCGACACAGATGTCTTGGAAGCGATAAAACACAACTACTAATCAATCTACTAAGTATAGATACAACGTTAAGTAAAATGGATAGTGCAATATGAGATATTGATTTTAATGATAAACAACTTTATTGTATGAGTCAACGGAATAATAACCGTTTTATCGAAGTATTTCAATTGAAACTGCATACAGAATATGAACAATTTTTTATAGCTTTGGAGACAAACGAGCACGCGGCTCACCTGATGGTACCAAAGTAATTACCGCAGCCCATGAGCCCCTCTAACACCAGAACCTTTTAAGAAGGAATAAGCTCTTTTCTTAAAGGTATCAATATCGTATCGGTTCGGAAATTGTACATGGCAAAAAGTTGCTAGAAAACCGCACGGTGGAGGACCGCCATTCATCCAGAAGATCAGTTAGACTATGCCTTCTAAAAATCTTCGCAAATTTCTTTAACTTTTACTAAATCGAGATTCGCCTAAAAATACTAGCTGACTGAAAGAAAATATACCTATTAGAACTGACAAAGAATGATAAACTGAAAACAGTAGTATTAGATCATGTTATTTAAATTACACAATATGCAATTTATACACATAGTAAGAAGCTAAACGTTCTGACTTCCGTCTACAAAATTTACAAATAAAAAGAATGGTTTGTTAGCATAATGCTCGATGAATTAATAATTGCATATGCACATCATTACTGACAGTAATTATTATCGCTGTAATCAACATAATGATTTACTGAGGCATAAGTACAATAACCGTCATCTTCATACATAAAAATAACAATACACCTCCCAAATTCATTAAGAGACGAAAAACTGATAAAAAATATAGGAAATCTCAAGATCACGAGGAAAAAAAGCAATTGACAATATGTAAAATAATAATAGTAATAACATACCTGTACAATTTACACAACGCCATCTAGTCCCTAGGTAAGCAGAGCTCGTGTGATGGGTACTAGACAACTGATAGAACTAATAGATATTTTTTCGTAAATATATATAAAATATACACAGAAAACGATAAAAACAATCATACTCATGAATACAAAATGTTGGTAAGTACTGTGCGAGAAATTCAACCTGCGACCATCGAAAGTAAAAAAGTGTGCTAAACCATTAAACCACCGAGACCGTGTGGATATTCTATCATTAGAAACTGAAATATACGTGAACAGGAAGACAAAGTTGGATCGATTTAAAATCTAAACAATGGACGCTCAGGGTGGGAGCATACTAGAGTTGTGTTTATGATTGATGAAGTGTCTTCACTGCAACTAATTGACAGTGATGGAACAGCCAACCTGCAAACGTATTAAACACACGGATCTATCAATATCCACCATTTTCATTCACAATTGAATGGACTTAAAGGTGATATTTGCTTGAGTGTGGGATTTCGTGACTCTGACGATGACGTGGCGATGACAATCGTACCTGTCTTTGCAGCAGGCATATCTAGTAGATAATTAACAGGTTTTTGTTAAAATCATTTTCATTTAAATCAAATCGATCAAATCAAAATATCTTTATTCATGTAGGTCTATTACAGACTCAAATCTACCGTCAATTTGGAATGCTTTGGAGTTAAGAAGAACTGACAAGAAACTCAGCTATGTAGCTAGCAGAAACTTTGCAAATGAGCTAATACATGTTTAAAAAATACAGATTCATTTCTAATTTCAAATTAGAGAGATAATCTAGAAGACTGATAGATAATTGATCAATCAAGATGAGCTAGTAGTAACTACAGGTTAGATACAACAGCATATAGGTACAAACTGGAACCCAGAGCTGTGAGCACACCAGTCCAGCAATAGCTGAGTTTGTATCTATTGCCAAACATTTTATAAAATTCATTATATAATTGTATGACTGTATTATTAAAAATATTAAAATATAAAAATATTTATTTACCATTTTTATTTTTAGTTGCTTCTTTTAGTTTTTTAAATTAAAGAAAAAGAACGCTTTGCATTGGGCATTTTGAATGTAATATACTTTTAGAATTTCTTTACTTCTAAATCTATTTAGAACATATTTATTTTATTGTAATAAATATTTCATATTGCCTCTAAAGAAATTTTTATTAAAATCGCTTCAGAAGTTTGCACTTAAAATACATAATTCAGTTGATAACGATTTATTGTTTTTATATCTGTAAACAACTTATCTTTGTTTAAATACTAAACTATTGCTTATCACAATATCTTAGATTCCAGTTATATTACAAGTTACTTAAGTAAATAAAGTGCATTTTCCAGTATTATATAAAAGAACAAAGAATAACTCCGCGCTGTATATTTAATCTTAGATAAAGAAATTACACTTGCAATATGGATACGGTCATAATAAATAACAAGTTCTATATGTTTGACACAATTGTAAGTCGTAATTTTTGTTGAATTGATAGACAATGGTATTTGTGACAAAGATTTATAACGTGTAATAAGTTTCAATTAGAATTTTATTGAATTTATCACTCCTAAACAACTGTACAAATATGAACGAGACGCACGAAACAATGCGAACTGGACTGCAATTAGTAAAGCATTTCAAAATTAATCAAACACAATAAATTGTTGAGAAGGCAAACACACTTGAGGAGAAACAATGAAGGTTTGAACACTTAGCGGTGATGATACATCGGCATGTTTGGACATGTGTTTCTCGTTTTGAAACACCTTTCAATATATCAAATGTAATATTACCGAAATGTTTTCATTCATATATTATAGTATCATGAATAACACGGCCTCGGTAGTTTAGCGGTTTAGTACACTGCATTAGATTCAATAGTTGCAGGATTGATTTCCACGCACGGTACAAGAAATTGTAGTTTAGAATACGATTGTTTGTATCGGTCTGGATGTTTTATATGTATATTATGTGCATTCATTCATTTATAAACTTAAGAGAACTTGTCGGTGGAGCTCTTGCCACTTTTTACGATCTTCCATCGTACTCTTTAAGCCTTGATACGACACGACTCCAATTCTGTCTTTAATTTGTTTGATGTAACTGTGCCTTGGTCTTCCTCTGCCCCTCTTCTACTTTTCCCTCAATTTTCAATAATTCATCGAGCCGTATTATGTGCATATGTGTTTACAAATGTAATCAGTATTTAGGTCAGTTGTCGAGTACCCATAACAATAGGTCTGCTTAGCTTGGGACTAGATGGCGCTGTGTGAATTGTCCTGATATTATTATTACATGGAAGAAATACCTAATCGTATTTATATTATTTGTCTAGTACCCATTATACAAGGTCTGCTTACCTTGGGACTAGATGGCGCTGTGTGAATTGTCCTGATATTATGATTATATGGAAGAAATGACTAATCAAGGTTAGAGAATTAAAAATATTATTTTGGTTACTACCTAAAGAAATAGTTGTATTTCAACAACAATAATAGATAACATTACGCAATCGTACAAATCAAACATAGACAAGTCGATTAATCAGTTTTTTGTCTATACCCGTATCATATTTAATCTGTTGTCTGTGTAGTTTTAATGATAGTTTATCTGTTTATAAAGAAAATAACTAATATGGAGAAAATATAACATACTATGAGTGAATCAGAGCTTACATTACTTAATATAGTGGGGATTGTTAATAATGAGGATAGTAGCCCCTAGCTAGTAGTAGTAGTTGCTAGCAATATAACATGTCAATGCCCCCTAGAAACCGTCACGGTCAATTTCTGGTAAATTTTGCCACGATTACCATACCTACCTGAATTCATGCTCATCCTATCATCATTCACTGATGCCCCGTCAGCGTAAACCGTTAACGCAGGAGCATTCACCATTTCATTATGATCCATTAAAAAAATATTAGTAATTATTATGTAACTCGGGCAGTAATAATTAATAAATTCATATTCGGATGAAACTGTACATTCACTTTTTAGCATTGCATATTTACAAGCAATTGGTTGTATATATCATTATTAAAGTTTTCGTCCTAAAAGAAGGTCGCGTCACTCATAGCAAAATTATTGATCTATGAAATATAAGTAAAATAATCTATATTCAAAACCTAATGTAAGAAATTTTGAATAGTCATATAATATTTTTTTATTCTATCACTCATTGGGAAAGCAGACATTACAAGAAGAACGTGGAAAAACTTGTGCGTTATTATTTAAATCAGTAAAACTCTAAGCGAATTTAGGCAGTTGATTAAATGTAAATGAAAATAAATAAGTTATTAATGTTTAATCAACAGCCTGGAATATAAGTTTCAAGCTTCTAGCTTTAAAAATGACAATATTTCAATACAACATTTCATTTCTCCTTTCAACTCCTCACAATCCTTTTTTTTCGCATTAAAAAGTAGCCTATGTCCTTTTTACGGTTTAGACTATCTGTGTACGAAATTTCATTTAAATCAATCAATACATCAATTAAATCGTTTTGACAGAAATAATTACTTTCGCATTTATAATATTATATGGCAACCGCAAGTGACACCCCTGGTGCTTCAGGCGTCCATAGGCTACGGTAACCATTTACCATCAGATGGGCCGTATGCTTGTTTACCACCATAGTAGTATAAAAAAAAATATTAATATTTTTTTGTGAATACAAACCACCAAATAAAGATTAACTAGATTAACAGAATTATGATTCTGTAAGCACATTTTTATTTATACCTAGATGTACCGCGACTTCGTCCGCGTGGAATTTAACTTTATTTTTCTAAAACAAAAGAAATTTTCTAAAATAAAAGTAGCCTAAGTTACTCCTTATTACATCAGCTACCTGTCAAAAAAAGTCCCGTCAAAATCGGTCTAGCCATTTCAGAGATTAGCCGGAACAAACACACCGACAGACAGACAGACAAAAATTATAAAAAATGTTATTTTGGTGTATGTACCGTATATATATTGATATGCATGTAGTAAAAACGGTTATTTCAGTGTTACAAACAGACACAATTTTATTTATATGTATAGATTAATTTAAGCTTTGCTCTCATAAATACAATATTGTTAAAACGTCTACTTTATGTCCTTTGTGAGTGAACTACTATTAATCTAACATTACTAGAGACAACGGCTTGTGTCATCACAAACTAGAACAAGAATAGATGAACCGTCACAATGAAATTCTAGATCATTTTTAAAGACAATGCCCACTATAACTGTCACTGTAGTTTGTCTATTTGTTTCTCTAACTCTACCA